GCCTTTGGGCAGGTGCAATACAGGTGGTGAAGGCTGCGTGACCTCTCTCTTTCCAGTGTTATTAGTGCAGGGTGGGACCTGGCTATGTGGATTCAGTAGCCATTGCTACACAGGTAATATCACCAAAACAATGATGATGCATTTCTAAGTTTGGAATTGATGTACTCAGGCTGGGTGCGGTGCACTGATACCAGTTGCAGTGTCACGGACATAAGAAGCTGCATTATTATCAGAAGAGGCTGTTTGTTCATCTAATCCGGTATTACATTCTGAATCTCTGTGTAGCTCTCCATGGTCTTTGCATCACCTGCCACCTGAGCATTTCAACTGGAGATGTCAGCAGAAGTGGATCACTAGGGGCGGGGAAGGATCCACTATGCTAGCTCCCCAGCAGGTGGGTTGCTTTTGCTTAGTGGGAGGGAAGGGTGAAGTGGCAGGGAGGTTGGCGCACTTCAAATGCAGTGGGGGGGGCAATTGGGCACTCCTTGCACTGCATTGACCTCATCGCCACCTTGCCCTTCTCCCTCCCCTTCCAGGTAAGCAACATTAATCCACCTACTGGGAAGCTGGTGTTGCTGTTCCACTCCACCCAGTGAGTCACTTGTGAATGAGAGGAATTGAACGTGGGATGTTCTGCATGCAGGACACATGTTCTTCCACTGAGCGTTGGTTCCACTATTGCCTAGCCCAGAGTGTCAATCAGCCAGCTTTGGAGGGGAGGGTGGGCTCAACTTCCTAGGCACCTAGCAAGCTAGGCTGCATGAGACAAGCAAGTTAGGGGGAACACACAAATGCTGATTATTATTATTATTTATTTATTTTTGAAAACAGGACAAAAGGCATCCTGTTTGGCGGCCAAACGGGACAAGGGAAATTGTGGTCCCAAAGCGTGACAATCCCATTTTTTACAAGACAGGTGGCAACCCTAGTTGGTTCCTTTTCCTATAAGGAACACAGTGACTTGCTCCCACAGTCCCCAGCTGATGGCCTATCCACTAGGCAAAACCTGAGTAGTAAACTAGGAGAAATGAAAGCAACTACCTCAACAAACCTAGATGCTTAACAACTACAGTTAGACAATGCGGGTTTTTCTTGGTCTCTGCGGTGTTTGGATTCCATGTTTCAAATCTGTCCTCCAGTTTCACAAAAGAAGCCTCCATTTTTTTCCTGCCTCATCTTCAAGTCACTTTAGAGTTTATTTAGAATTTCTGTGAGCACAAAGTTTTGAGATCACCTTATTGCTGCAAGATTGCCAAGGGTGGTGTGTGTGTGTGTGTGTGTGTGTGTGTGTGAGAGAGAGAGAGAGAGAGAGAGAGAGAGAGAGAGAGAATTTCTTTCCGGTAAACATTTCTCAAGCACTCTGCAGCCAACACTCCATGCTTCCTGATCTGAAAAAGGCCCATGAGAGATATTACCTCATGATGCCTTTCCCCAGAATTTAATTGAAGTGTGGGCAACTGGGAAGGTTACAAAGTACCAGACCAACCATTGGCGAGAGCTGATTTGCAGAATGAAAGAAAGGAAACTCCCTTACTCACATGCACCCTTAGTCACCTCAAAAGTAAGTTAAGCAGCCACCCACAAACTTGCACCTAACCATGAGAATGTCTAGTAGTTCCTAGTTCTACTGACCGACTTCCCTTTTCTCACTTTTCAATTTCAGCTACAGATTTCTCTTTGCATCCCTGTCTGATCCACCATATATACTGTAAGCTGGTTAAAGAAAGACAGCATAATTTTTCTGTTTTCTACTGTATCATACCAAGTTGGTGGTCCTAAATATGCTGTGATTTCCTGAATGAGCTAGAGTGAAAGGGACCTTTGCTTTTTGAGTCCATTGTCACATAAAACATCAGATTCTCTGTGCAATCTGGAGGAATTTTAAAACAGGGCCATTGCTTGTCTAATAATGGTTAGGGTCTTGGGCTTGGCTGTAGCAAATTCAGGTTCATATTTCCACTCGGCCGTGAAACTCAATGGGTTATTAGTCACTATTTAACCTGACCTGCCTTTCAGGGGCAATCCTATATATATTGCTTTGAGCTCTTTGGAAGAATAGAATAAATATGTGATACACAAATGAATTTGCTGGAGTACTAATGGCTTTACAAAGTGTAGGAGAATGGAAAGTCCACAAATTGATTCATAGCCATGGCTTCAATCTAATGCAAAAAGCAGCAACATTGATTTTCAACATAGGGCAAATTCGCATGACCATGATGTCTTCTCTGCACACACATAAAGTCACCCCCCATAAGTGACTTATTTCAACTGTCCTATGACAGATGCCCAGGTGGATCCTTTATTTGTGAATGTTTTCAGCAAAGGTCCCAGTTGCCTCTCAGCACATTGTGAATATGACTATGGTTAGCAACATAATGAGAGCCAGTATGGTGCCTTGGTTAAAGTGTTGGACTAAGACCTGAGGGAAAGGGGTTCAAATCCCCGCTCAGCCACGAAGCTCACTGAGTGACTTGGGGGTGGTTGTTGCCTCTCAGCTTAACCTACCTTACAGGGTCGTTGTGAAGACAAAAAGAGGACACAGAGAGCCAAGTATGCCACCTTCAGCTCAATGGATGAAAGGTGGGGTATAAATCAAATGATAAACATGGCCTCTTCAAGCTGCTACACGTGGTTAAACTGGGTTCTAGCCTTTTCGTTAGCCTGTCTTTGCACATCGACAGTGCATCAACAGAGAAAACTCACCAAAAGCTTTAAAAGATGGAAGTCATCCCAGTGCATCTCCTTCCTCAAACACCATCTTGCCCTGGGGTGGGGGGGGGGAGAGATGATGGAACAGCCTGGAGAGCTGCCCACCCTGTCATTCCAGGTGTTCCAGTTGAGATGGTTTCCCTGCCACCCAGCCCTGACAACCACACCACGTGGCTGCTCAAGAACCATTTTGCTCTTAGGGAGAGAAAGATTTGGTCCTCCTTCACCCTTGAAACTTCTCTTTGCTGTTCCTTCAATCATTTCAATTGATGATTATTGTGTGGCTATTTCTATGTAATTCACTCTATGGAGTCTGCTTGAAAAGTAATAATATAATAATATATAATAATATAAAATATAATGTATACTCTGATTTTTGTGATTACTTTCAGGGGCCCTGAGCACCGGCAGAATTTAACTAGGGCTTCCTAAATAGATATAGGATGTTTCTGGGAGACACTTTGTTTTGTATTTTGCTTTGTTTTGTGTTTCTAGCTATTGGTTTGTTTCATTTGTGTGTGGATGCTGATGTTTGGGGAGTTAGGCTCCCCATGGATAAGGGCATAATAACTAATAACATTTCTTTGCTTTCCAGGGTACTTTTGGCACAATGATAAATTTCATCTTCCCCAGAATGGTAAGCAGAAAACTATTTTCTGTATCTGACACCAATGAATACAAAGGAGAACAAGCAAAATTGTCATTTGAAAATAATGAAAATTCACTTAAAAATAAATATGCAACTTGATAAGGGTATTATTCATGCAGCTATAAACATCTGAATATTTAAACCCTGTAAAGCCATCTTTAAAATTCCCATCTAATTTTTGTCTAGTATTTTTGGTTGTTGTTTCTACAGAAACATAAAGATTTACCATCTCTGCTGGAAATGCTTTAGAAACCTGGTGTGTTCGCCAATGTGTTTTGCTGCATAATTTATTGTAATATATACATACCCACACACATAAATATGGTTTACGTTCTATCAGTTGAGAGAGGAATTGTATCTCTGCTTTAGATTGAGAGAGGGTTAGGCCTATATAATGTTTTACTGTGTTGAACTGTATAAAAATTGATCCTTATTTATGTTCCACCAGGGTTTTGCTGCATATGTGAATTTAAAATGGTATATTTTCAGAATATAGACACCACATCCTGAGTAAAAGCTGCATGCTACCATTTTGTAAAAAACAACAACACCCAGATATTTTCTAAGGTTCTCCCCAGCACTACCCCAAGACTGGGAAAAAGGCAATATTTATTCTACTCTTTGATCATAGCATCTTTGCAATCAAATAAAATGAAAAATTCATCATATTGTACATAAAAAGGTCACCTTAAAATGAGACTTCATAGAAAAGGAGCCTGAATGAGATAAACCAACTGTTAAGGAGACTTGTGTTCAACAGCTCTTGAAATAGGCCTCTATTCCCCACCTCAACATCATCTCATTCCTCAAACATTTGGTTGGAAATAAACATAAAGCCATCATGCATTTGAACTGTTTTGACAATGGGGGAAAAATATTGCTGGAAAAAAGTAGTTTCTTCCAAGCACTAATGTAACCTCTTCTTAGTCTTACAGCTGAAAGCTTTCCTGTCTAATCCCAGAAGAAACTTTTCAAAAAAAGGCAATTATTCAAGAACTTAAATGCAAAGATGCATTAAAACAATGGAGGGCTTAAAATTTGTGCCAAGCTGATTTTCTGTTGTCTTTGATACAAAAGCAGAGGCATTCACAGGATTTAAGAAAACCTATAACATGGTTTCAAGACTGGAGGAGTTTTGTGTGTGTGTGTGAAATAAAAGTTAGATATCTTTGTTGATTCACTGAAGACAGGCTAGGGAGCTTTTGTGGTAGGGACTGACTCAATATATTGTGTTTCCCCAGGAGACTGTAGTGTGCAAGTCCAAAATGTGATCACAGAGCCGAACTAACTCTTAGATAGCACACACCACCCGTGATCTCAGTATCCTCTGCCCCATGCTATGCTGGTGTGTACTGACTCAGGCCTCACCTTGAGTACTGTCAAAGACCCTGTATCCTTTGCATACAAATGGGCCTATTGGCATGAGGTAACTGTCAATACAGATCATATAATGCCTTCACCTGTTAAAGCCACCCCAAATGCGAGAAGTGAAGTTAGAGGGAACCAGGTGGAGGGCCTTCTCAGTTATGGAATGCCCTCCCATCAAATAAACAATTATCTGATTTTTAGAAGACATTTGAAAGATGTTTGATGTTTTTATTTGCTGGAAGCCACCCTGAGTGTCTGGGGCAACCTAGTCAGATGGGTGGCTGCTTCTTCTTCTTCTTCTTCTTCTTCTTCTTCTTCTTCTTATTATTATTATTATTAATATTATCCCTGCATCCTTTGTTTATGTTGGCAACGCATAAGGTTTTTCGGGGTGAACAGTACAGAATGAGAGAATCCTTTGTCTTTAGGTGCAAAATGAATCACTTCTATCCATGTCAGGGCTGAGGACTATATATAAAACAAGGAGCTGTCTCATTGTCTTGGTTGGCTGCCAAAGCTTTCCTATGGTGAAAGAAGTGGGAGAACCGGGTCAGTAGGTGTAGTGCCAAGGCTGACTTTCAGAGAGAAGGGTGTCACACTTAAGAATTGTTTCAGTGAGACTATCACAGAATATGAATCAGCAAAGAGATGCACCCAGTACCTTATGAAAAACTCCAAAGGACATTTTATTCAAAGTGGTACAGAGGCAGACAAACGATAAGCAAAGCTTAATTGTCACTCTGTCCTGAAAACCGGGGAGCATAAACTGAGGCACCCAGAGGTCACTAGCATCTTAAAGCACGTATTTCTGGTGACTATTCAAGTTGCTCTGTGTAGGGGCTAGCAATAAATCTGCTAGTGCATTGGCAAAGCTAAGCAAGGTCTGGTTTCAAAGTGAATGGGGAACTGTGTGTTGAGATTCCTGCATTTGCAAGGGGGGCGTGGGTGGCGCTGTGGTCTAAACCTCTGAGCCTCTTGGGCTTGCCGATCAGAAGGTTGGTGGTTCATATCCCCGTGACGGAGTGAACTCCTGTTGCTCTGCCCCAGCTCCTGCCAACCTAGCAGTCTGAAAGCACACCAGTGCAAGTAGATAAATAGGTACCGCTATGGTGGGAAGGTAAATGGTGTTTCCATGCATTCTAGTTTCCATCATGGTGTTCCGTTGCGCCAGAAGTGGTTTAGTCACGCTGGCCACATGACTCGGAAAGCTGTCAGCTTGAAAGAGAGATGAGTTCTGCAACCCCATAGTCGCCTTTGACTGGATATAACCGCCATGGGGTCCTTTACTTTTACCATTTTTTTACCTATTTGCAAGGGTTTGGACTACATGAACTTTGGTGGTCCCTTTCAATTCTACAATTCTATGATTTCTTCTTTGTACCTTACCCTTCCCAGCCCAGGTAGATGCTCACCCCCACCACAAGTTTCAGTATGACCTCCCTCTTCCTTCCTTTTTCTCCCACACAACCATTCCTGGAAGCAAGAATTACCTAATTTGAGGCAGGCCTTCCCAAAGCATTGCCACAGGTGCTCTTTCATTTTTATGGCTTGGCCCCGGAAGATATCAATATTATTCATAATCCGAGTGGGTGTGTGAGGCTAGGCAGGTTGCCTTGTCTTTCCCACACCACTGAGCAGCCTCTCATTGGATAAAGGCTCGCACGCCCTGGCACTTTTCAGTGAAGCACTTCCTGAACCAGAAAACAGGCCCACTCTTCTCACTGACTCACTCAGATCACCATCACTCTAAACTTGTGGCTCCATCTTGCTTTCAGATGCTGCTTGGGTTCTCCTGCAGTGCGGTTCTAGAGCTCCCAGGAATGATCAGGTCATAGATGACAGTTTCTGACTGCCCCTGAGGTGATCTAGGTTAGTGTTTCCCAACCTTGGGCCTCCAGCTGTTTTCGAACTACAATTCCCATCATCCCTGACCACTGGTCTTGCTAGCTGAGGATTATGGGAGTTGTAGTCCAAAAACAGCTGGAGGCCCAAGGTTGGGAAATGCTGATCTAGGTCACTGAGGGTGTTCTTTTTACATCTTTCCTTCTTCCACATTGCCTGCGTTGCAGGATAAGCCAGAGAAACAGAAAAACTGGCTCTGTGAGCATTGTTTGCTCAAACAATGGAAGGTGTGTCCACATGAAGAAGCTCATTCCAGGCCAGGGGAAGGAAGCAGGGCTGAGCTGTTCATTCCTCTCATTGTATCCTACAGATTCTGGAACAAACAGCCAGAATTAGTTCTCATTTCCACGTGATCATGTGCATCATTGTCTTTTATTATTTGCTAAATATTTACAGTTTGCTAAGGAGCATGAAACTGAACTACAAAGTCATTTAATGTTTTTATTTTATTCTTGTCTTGTTCTTTCTCTAAGAAGCTCAGGACAATCTACATGGCCCACCATGATACCCCCCCCCCCTTAATTCGCACAAGCACCTGGTGAAGTTGGTTAGCCTAATAGAGAGTGACTGGCCCAAGATCGCCTAGTGAGCTTCATAACTGAGTGGGGATTCGAACTCATCTCCCCCAGGCCTTGGTCACTACAACAACACTTTCTACCCAATATCACTCATGTGGGGAAGGGCATTTGCAAGAAGTATATTTACTGAGGACAGAATCACATGCTATTGTAGCAAACATATGCTCCCGAACCTATTTTATGCTGTAATGACATTAATACAGGAAAGAAGAGAAAAAAGTAGGCAGGTGGGATCCTTAACCTTTCCCATGCCCACCACTCTCCCCTACAAATGCTTCTAAAAGTTCCCCCCCTCCTACCCCTGAGTTAGCTTTACTTTCAGTCTCTACCCGATGAAGGAAAATGATCTTGGGTGGACATTGGTGTGATTAAGCACCTCTTCCTTCCTGCTTTCCAACTCTCTCTTGTAACTTACTAAGCCCTGTATTCAGGCATCTTGACAAACAGGTTTGGGAATAAGCATTTGCTGAGATAATATGTAGTTTTGCCTCCAACTGAACAGGTAAGCACTGTGGTCAGATCTTTGATTCTGTGTATGGTACAGTATGGATGTGATCTAAGAGGCGCTATGGGGAGATTCCCCCTCCCACCCGGCAACAAATCGGGGGAGGATTTACACTGGGAAAAGGGAGAAAAGAATTCCACAAACTTTTTCAGCACGTCATGTTCCCAACTTTCAAAGCGGCCACATGAGGCTACTGATTAGGTTCCCCCACCCCCAAACATACACACATACACAATCTTAATCACAGATCTGGTCACAGCTAGTTTGACTCTGAGCGGATAAACCAAGAAGACCACAGTTATTAGTGTGTGGCGGGGTAGAATGATGTTTAGTGTTTGGGGTGGGGTGAGCAAGGATGAGACTTTGCATGATTATCTTTTACTTCTGATGCTGAATCCTGGACAAAGTGCTAGTTTTTTGGCCAAAAAAAATAAATCTGTCTATTCATTAACAGAACACTAAATATTAAAATGAGGTTGTTAGTCAATTTCTCATTTATTCTCACGTCTGGACTTGTGTTCAGGGTCATTAAACCACTCGTTTGATATTTTTTCACATAATAAAACCCAAACTGAACTCACCCATATCATTTCCATTGATGTAGTTAAGGGTGTTTTTGTTTTGCTTTAAGGGTTTTTGTTGTTGTTATTGTTTCTAGATCATATGTAGGGTGATAAATGTCAGATAGCCAAAGAAAATAAAATGTGGAATGTAATTAATCTGCACCTTTAACAAAACACACTTTCTTTCTCATTTCCACCTCTTGCTGTGCTTAATGAATAAAGATTAAATGCACATTACTATGAATAGTCAAAGCATTCTAGGTTTTAATCAAAATGTTTTTCCTGCACTCTGTATGCTAATGAATGATCTGATACCTGTAAATGTTAAATGCAGACCATATACTGCCGAGAATTTCATTACATATCAGCAATATTATTATTTTTTAAGGTTAAAAACTTCCATTCATGCTCTCCAGTCCATGCATATACCACATGCATTCTAGCACACAGCTTAGATTGTAAGATCCTCAGAACAGGCTGCTGCTGCTGCTGTTGTTGTTAACTGAAACAATATCATATACATTAGCGCTGCTATGTAAGTAATAAATAAACAATAACACTTTCATGGGAACGTCTGTAAATTCCTGCAAACCATGTTAGATTGTGGCTTTTACCTCTCAGAGAAATGTAAAATATCTATATTTCTTCTTATACGTTAGAAATAGCTTTGGGGATGCTGGTGTCACTTAACTGTTCAGTTCATTTTTAAGGAATGAAATTCGTCTTAATTAGTAAAAACAATAGATGGATAGGCTCCTCTCTCTCTCTCTCTCTCTCTCTCCCTCCCTCTTATTTTTCAAGAGGTAGTTCACTCACTGTGCAGCTTATCAGCTGTAGATTATCCCGATAAATGACAAGTTCTTGTCTCCAGCTTTGTAACCTCTTTGTCAGACATCACCTTGTTCGACCAAATAGCTTACTTGATGTGCGGCTGCCCCAATTGTCTGGCACCCTACCATAGCTGGGCTATATGCCAGCTTGAGCTTCACAACTATTTATGGCTTTGTGCATTCAAAGTTCAGCTATGCAAATCACAACTATTAAAAAAAGAAGCCACTGCAGATTTGTTTTTGAGATGTATTATGTGGCTCGCAAGGTCAAATCATTTGTTTTCTCTCCAGTAAAATACAGTTTTGTCAGTAATGATCGAAAAGATCATCACCTTTTTTTTAAAGCTGAGTCAAATTGAATGTAAACATCTCTTCACTCCTCTGCTACAATCATGTGGCACACTTTTAACAGTGCAAAGAGAAGAAAGGGGGCATAGAATACAAGATGGCATGCAAAAGTAACTTTTGTAGTGCATAATTAAGAATGAGGACAGGGGAGAACCCTACAAGTTTGGAGAAAATGGTGAACATGGGAGGGCCAGTTTTGAAGTTTAAATTTTCACCCACCAAACTGGATAAGGACAAGGTAGAAAGAAACATTCTGCAGCAACTTAGGCTGTTAATTTTTTTCTTAGTTGGACTCCTGTGCATTTCACATATTACTTGGTTAGATTTTCTTCCAGGGACTGTCTTGGTAGGGAGATACTGTTGTTACAGGAAAATGTTTACTTGTTAAATTTGTGCTTGTCTTGCAACTGTCAAGAAAAGAAAAGAAAATGGAAGTCAAATAAAAGTCTTGGGTGACAAACAAAAACCTGGCAACATAGAGACTCTTTTTCAATCCTACCTGGAGATGCCAAAAATTGAATGCATATGCCTTATCTATAAACCAACCCAACTTGCCATGTTACCTGATAATGGAACAATCCCAGAAATCTTTATAGCTTGGGAGATTTAGAATGCCTTATGCAGTCCATGTCTACTTAGAAATAAATCCCACTGAGTTCATTAGGATTTGCTTCCAGGTAAGTGTGTATAGGATAGCAACCTTAATCACACACAAATTCTTCCTTCCCAGGGCTTAAAGTTAGTTGGTCCTACTGACACCCATGGAGCCATAATTAGCCAGTTGTTATAGGACTAGCCACCATTTGTGGCAGGCTGTGGGAGTCCAAGGTCTTGCAATAAAAGACAGGCAGACTCCTTTCCTTCACCAGCATTCCCACAATGCATTGCAACTGCTGCTCAAAGTGTGTGGACAGGCCTTTCAACAGAGCCATGGTCACAGGGTATGTAAGGCACAAGCTCCTTCCCAGACCATCCTAGTGTCCCTATTTTTCAAGGACAGTCCTGGTTTTACAGAAGCCATTCTGGTCCCGGAATGTCCCACTTTTCCTTTGTTGTTGTTGTTGTTTAGTCGTTTAGTCGTGTCTGACTCTTCGTGACCCCATGGACCAGAGCACGCCAGGCACTCCTGTCTTCCACTGCCTCCCACAGTTTGGTCAAAATCATGCTGGTAGCTTCGAGAACACTGTCCAACCATCTCGTCCTCTGTCGTCCCCTTCTCCTTGTGCCCTCAATCTTTCCCAACATCAGGGTCTTTTCCAGGGAGTCTTCTCTTCTCATGAGGTGGACAAAGTATTGGAGTCTCAGCTTCAGGATCTGTCCTTCCAGTGAGCACTCAGGGCTGATTTCCTTAAAAATGGATAGGTTTGATCTTCTTGCAGTCCATGGGACTCTCAAGAGTCTCCTCCAGCACCATAATTCAAAAGCATCAATTCTTCGGCGATCAGCCTTCTTTATGATCACTTTTCCTTAGGACATCCCTATTTTCATTGGAGAAATGTTGGAGGGTATGGAGTTATGTGACCCCTGAGCCAAGGAGATAAGTAACTGTACAACCTTTAGAAGACATTTGAAAGCAGCCCTGTATAGGAAAGACTTTTTAAAGCTCAATATTTTATTATGTTTTTATATATGTTGGAAGCCACCCAGAGTGGCTAGTGCAACCCAGCCAGATAAGTAGGGTATAAATAATAAAATTATGGTGATGGGGTGGAATACGAAATGTTGGAGGATATGCACCACACTGGTTTAGCCAGCTTAGTTGTGCTTTTGGAGGCTCAGAAAGAGCTTTCCTTTCTTTTTTCTTTTCTTCTTTAGGGGATGGCGAGGCTCATAATCTAGCATAGTTTGGGGAGCCCCAGTGTGACCAACACTTTACTGGTATCTTTACACTGAGACGCTTTTACATCTCCTGTGCCATTGAAGGAATTCTCTTTTCTATTTAAGTTTCTACACCACACCCATCGGCTTGGTAGCCAGACGGCGCCCGAAATGAAAATGTAAACATTGCACAACTGTGAAGAGAGATAAAAGTACACAAGCTCATGGAGACTGCCACTTAGTCTGTGTTTGTCTGTGGCACCTTATTGTTTGCTGTGGGTTGCTGGCTGGAATACAACAGGCTGCTGGAAATCCTAATAGGAGACATTATTTTCAATGCTGGCAGTTCCAAAGAGCTTGCTCCTGTCTCTTGTTATCCATTGTGATTTAAATGACAGCAGGGAACTCAGGTCTGCGTGGTCCATGGGAATAACAGGCACTTTCTTTGCATAAAGGTAAAGGGTAAAGGGCCCCTGATAGGTCCGGTCACGGATGACTCTGGGGTTGCAGCACTCATCTCGCTTTACTGGCCAAGGGAGCCGGCGTACAGCTTCCGGGTCATGTGGCCAGCATGACTGAGCGGCTTCTGGCAAACCAGAGCAGCGCACAGAAATGCTGTTTACCTTCCCGCAGGAGCAGTACCTATCTGTGTTGTCTGTGTGTGGTTTTGAAGACATTGCTGTTCTCAAACCCAAGCGAAGCAAAGGAGGATCCCCCCCCCCAACACATGCACGTTTTCAGTTTCCCTATGAATAATATAGAGAAAGCTGCAAAGCTGAATGGTCTTTTGGCACCATTGAGCAATGTTGGTCCAGCCACCAGAAATGACGTAACATCAGCAAATGTGAAAAAGTTCAGCTTGCTTAATGGTTGAGCAAACGTTTTCATGCCAGGGATCCCAGGTTCATTCTCAGGCCTCCAGACCTTCCATGTGTCCCTACTTTCCAAGGACAGTCCTGGATTTACAGAAGCTGTTCCAGTTTCAAATTTGATTCTGGAATGTTCCATTTTCACTTAGGACATCCCTATTTTCATCGGAGAAATGTTGGAGGGTATAGAGTTATGTGACCCCCTGAACCAAGGAGATAAGAAACTTTAGAAGACATTTGAAGGCAGCCCTGTATAGGGAAGTTTTTTTAAAAAAAATGTTTAATGTTTTATTATTTTTTATATATTTAGGAAAATGCCCAGAGTGGCTGGGGCAACCCAGTCAGATGGGCAAGGTATAAATACAATTGTTGTTGTTGAATAGGACATCCCTAATTTCATTGGAGAAATGTTGTAAGGTATTGGAAAGTTCTGCCACATACATTAGAGATGTACTGTCTGCTAGAGGAGATAATATTGGCCTATGCTGACCAGTTGTCAGAACCTATATAAAGCAGTTTCCTAGATGAAAGCCATGAAATTGCAGAATATTCATTTTTTTGTAATATAAACTAAATAGTTCTCTCTTATGAATTATGGTCTAGTTCTATAGTCCAAGGGGGGGGCTAGGTATTTATGTGGCCAAACCTAGTTTCCTATGAAACTTTATCACTGTCACAGGAAAGAGAAAGGAGGTGTCTTCATGATTGTCACAAAAGCCTGCCAATTGGCATTCGACATCGTCAACTTCTCCTGGAAATTGAGAAAAACCAGTTGCGTCTGGTTTTGATGCAATTTTCAGTTTATAGATCTATCCTAAAAGAGGTGGCTTAGACTTTCCATTCAAGGTATATACATCTGTCTTGTGCCTGAGTCGAGCAAAGAGCCTGCAGAATGAATAAAGAAACTTTTCCATTCAGCCCAGGCCAGATTTTATCAGTTCAAAGTGTAGACTTTGGACCTTTATTAATACCTACAAAGCTATGGAACTTACCAACTGTTAAATGACTATCCTTTAGTCAATTCACTTGAAAAGAGCAGCATGTTCAAAGAAACTCCCAGAAAACATGGTTAAGATAAACACTTCAAAAAAAATCTGTCCCATAGACATCCTATTTAAAAGCTTCTTGAAAAACATTCCTTTCAATAACATTAGCATTTCGGTTTTCAAGAAGCCTAGATTGAAATTGAATTTCACTTTTTCTGTATAGTCTGTCTGTGTGTGTGTGTGTGTGTGTGTATAACACAACAACAACAACAACAACAACAACAACAGAAATGATCTATTCTGCAAAAAAAAGCTTTAACAAATTTATTCTGGCACTCTTCACCATGGAGGCTAGACTTTTTCTAAAAAAAAAATTAAAAAATGGAATTCAGTTTTAATGTGTAAAGGTTATTCTCAACTCCCCTCTGTGCTATAGTTTTCATATATAACTCAAGTAAGGACAACTCGTTATTAAAGAAGCCAGCAGGTGTTCTTCTCTCTGAAACATACTAAATAAAGAACTCTAACTGATTGTGTTGGCTGCATGCTCTGGAGGAGGAAAAGAGAAATTAAATAATGAAGGTAGAAACTTTTCAACAGGGACCTTGCTTTGGTAAAAGCAAAAGATTTTGTCGGAGCTAGGAAGTTCAGTAACAAAAATTTGGGCTGAGTTGCTTGGTAGGGGGGTTTTTACATTCTTTTGGAAACATGGGTGCTTCTAGATGGGGGCATTTTGAATGCTAGCTTCCCTCTAAGTCAGTGATGGCCAAACTTGGCTCTACAGCTGTTTTGGGACTACAATTCCCATCATCCCCGACCACTGGTCCTGTTAGCTAGGGATGATGGGAGTTGTAGCCCCAAAACAGCTGGAGGGCCAAGTTTGGCCATCACTGCTCTAAGTCATGTATATTCAGTGCCATTTCAATGCTTGCCATCTATTCTTGTGGGAAGAGAGACTGTATCTGAGTAGTTTTTCTGTCCCTCCCTCAATCACACCTCCCACTCTCTCTATTATCTTTTCTCATTCTGTACATGCATGCACCAAAACTGCTGGTCAAAGGGCTCGCGAGTTAAAGCTCTAGACGATGCC